GCCAATTTCTTGAAACCAAAATGTTTTCTGGGAAAAAGTCTACTTCAACAAATTCTCAATAAATTTTTTTGGGAAAAAGGTTTAAAATTCTTCAAAGATTTCATTTCAATATTTTTCTGAACAAAAAAAACTTATTTTTTTTATTCAAAACAACTTTTTGTTTTGAAATTTAAGCTATCTGTAGTAATAAGTAAAATCAAAATTAACCATTTTTAAATTATCAAAATTAAATTTATCAATTGATCTGAATCAAACTTTTTGGGATATGGGGTTTGTTTGTTTGTTTGCTCATTTGGTTTGGTTCCTGAAAATTTTAGAGATTGAATTTTTGTCCTGATTTGTGTTGGGATTAATTTTCAAAATCTCAAAATTTGTCATGGGACAGGAAAACTTGTTTCTTTCTCATACTTTTATCTGAGGATATGTTGACATGGGAAATGCTTTGCAGTACAGGTGCAGTGTTACAACTGCCCTGCTAGGCTGTGTCTAGACTGCATCTCTTTTCCGTAAAAGGGGTGCAAATTAGACACATCACAATTGCAAATGAAGCGGGGATTTAAATCCCCCCACTTCATTTGCATAAACATGGCTGCCGCTTTGTTCCGGCTCGGAGCTTTGCTGGAAAAAAGCGCCAGTCTAGACGGGGATCTTTCGGAAAATAAAGCCTTTTCCAAAAGATCCCTTATTCCTTATTTTAAGGAATTTCCTTTTATGGAAAAGGGATGCAGTCTAGACAGAGCCCTAGAGTATAAACACTTAGAACTGTGTCACAAGGAGATTTTTCATTACTATAGTAAATCCACCTCTATACTAGTAGTAAGGTCTACAGAACAGCTCAGCTAAGCCATGAACTGGCTTCCATTCCCCTCTTCTACAGTCCAGCTGAGCTGTACGCCATGTCCTGGACCTCCACCACAGCCCAGCTGAGCCACACATTGGGCTTTCTGGCTGCTGGTCCACCCCACCCCCACAACCCAGCTGAGCCATGTGCCTGGCTTCCCGGCTCCTGTCCCCTCCCAATCCAGCTGGGTCACGTCACACATCCCAACATCACGCCAGGCTTCCAGGTCCCCCTTCCACCCAACAGTTCACTGGGACTCTCTAATCCTGGAACATCTGTGGTCTGGTTGCCGGATTAGAGAGTTCCATTTTATAGAGGTGCAACCTGTACTACATAATCCAGAACATGCTAACTTTCTGTTGCATCATCCACATTGATATTATACCCACAAGTGAAAATTTGTTTAAATTGTCTTTTAGCAAAAGAAAAATGTCTTTACCATTTTAAAATATTTAAAACTGTATTTGCATAAATAAATAAATCTGCCATTTGGAAAGATCCCTATATTATAGATTACTAAAATTGAGGTTATATTTAAGTCTGAGAACACTTTGGTTAGCTCAGTGAAGAATTAGACAGATGTTTCATTATAATTAAAGCACTGCACAACATTAGTAATATCCTTTTTCCAAAGCACGAGTTGGAAACCTAATTAAAGAGGACACATATATTCATAATTTAATTCACTAATTCATGAAGGGACAGAACAGGTTCCACTGTTTAATATATTCTGCCATTGGCATGGACACTGACAGACTAGAGATTTTAATCTGAGGTTTCCTGAAAGAACATATCCCCTTGATCTCTTGCAGTATATAGACTCAAAAAGCTCTGTCGGAATAGACTTTAAGTGAATAAAATCACTTTATCTAATCTTCAAATTACTCTTTGAGAAAAAAAAAAGAAAGTGTTGACTTTAGAGGTATATTTCATACCTGAGAGAAAAGGAATGGAGCCATTATTTCCTGATCGATCTGAATGTTTTTAACTATTATCTTCCTCTCTGGATTATTACTCTGAATTCCACTGTCAATAAATTTCTTAAGGTTCATTAAATCTACAGTTTCAGGGCCTCAGTCCGTTCATCAAACCCTCATGTTAACACCTTCATTTTATAGCTGGCTATCTTAATTTCCTAATGCATGTGATAGTACCTAATCTGTTATTGCTCCTTTTTCCCACCAAGAGCTACAAAACATTAATATATCACTCACAGAATATGATAAAGATTGTAAAAATGGCTAGAGAATTAACTACACATTATTTTATAAATCAGACATCTTGTGCTCAGAAAACAACTTCAGCAAAAATCTAAAATAACCAAAATTAATAGTGCAAACGTCTGTCCTAACAACCTGTTAGGGTTGTTCCCCACTCTGCCACTCCAAGTGCAGAAGATGGGGGCTCACAAGAGACCTTAAATACCTTGCCTTTATAGGCCCTGCTTACAAAAACTCCTCAGAGTCACAGATTTACTGACTTTTGGGGGTAGCTGCCAGCACCAAGTGAAACAAACCCCTTTCTTTTGAACCCAGGAAGAAAGCACTTGAACTTCCTTCTCCGGAGATACCCCAAGCTCCTCTGACAAAAGAAAAGAAAAGAAAAGAAAAGAAAAGAAAAGAAAAGAAAAGAAAAGAAAAGAAAAGAAAAGAAAAACAAAACTATATCTCTGATAGCTGACTTCTCAGGCTAGGCAGACATAGACAAAGACTTCCTGTTTCTTTTCAGGACACAACACTCAAATCATCGCCTTAAAAAGGTGATTTGATTAACAAAATAAAAAGATATATTTGATAAAGCATACTTGGTGGCTAGGTGTCACAGAGCAACTGAGTAAAACAAATTAAAACACAGAGAACATCTCTGGGGATGCTTTTAGTTAGTGAATGGGGGAGGGAAGGCATAGATTCACATAGAGAAGTTTAACCAAACAACAACCAAAACAAAGAAAAATACCCTGATCACAACTAAATGCACATTTTCCCTTTACTCATGATCCGTGCTGATCTGTACTTCAAGACTCAGTTCACTCCATGTCCAATATATTTTATAGACATGGTAATTCTGATTACTGCATCTGCGTCCTCCAGCCCTTAACTTAGAATTTTTTCACAAAGAGATCAGGCAAGGTACCAAACTACAATTCAAATTTCAGCACTGTATCCCCATTGGTTTTTCTGGCTCCCTGCCAACATCCTTGCTAGCTAACTGAGTTTAATCCTTTAGTCACAGAGTGCTGGCCAGCACTCCTCCTATTCATTACACAACCCATTCAAATCAAATTCAAACATCAGAAGAAAACAGAGAGGTGCAATAAATTAAACAATAAGTTGACTATTATCTCAGCCATAGAATAGAAACTGAAAAGAACCTTGATATTACTCTAAAAGACATGAGCCTCACAGTTAACTTTTATCCTTTCTCTTCCCATTCCACTCCCATTTCTGCATTTCCTGGTTCTGTCTGGGATCTGACAATGATACTGAAATATAAATTCTGTGTCTCCACAGTTTTACCTCTCGCCATGAAGATTGAAGGGAAGGGGCAAAAAACCCCACAAAAAACAAAAAAACAAAAAGGATAAACTTAAAAAACAACAAATGGTCTGGTAGCACTTTATAGACTAACAAAACATGTAGAGGACAGTGCATAGAATAATGGAGGAGAAGGGGGATAAACACAAGGAGATACACAGAGGAAGACTGGGAATGAGACTAGAGCAGTGTTTCTTAAACTATGTTTCGCAGAACACTGGTGTTCTGTGAACAACTCACAGGTGTGCCGCGACGACTTCTTTGTTTTTGTCTGACTGACCAATTTTTTTTTGAAGAAAATTTTCATAGCTGTTCCGCATAAAAAAAATATTGTTGTTTGGTGTTCCGTTGTCTCAAAAAGTTTAAGAAACACTGGACATGGGGACTCTTCCTTTGAGATACCTGAGAATTCTGCCTGAAGACAATCCCATGGCTCTCAAATAGCAAGCAAAGTACAGTACCCCAACAGTTGAGAAAGCACAAGCCAAAGAGCTGAATTCACCAGTCAGATTATCCATGTACTAAGTACAAAAGAATATAGCCAGAATATGCCCAATCAAAGAGTGGAACCACTCTCTATGAAAACCATTGCTAGGAGGAAGAGTAGTTTTAGACAGTTATGTCTGTACTAAGACACCAAGAACACATCTGCACAGCAGGGTCAAAATAAGCTATGCAATTTGAGCTACCTCAATTGTGTAGCTTAAGTTGAAATAGCTTATTTTGGCTTTTGGGAAAGACTACACAGCAGGAAGTTTAAGTTAGAGCATTGTTCCCTGACTTCCCTTAATCTTCGTAAAATGAGGGTTGCAGGAGTCAGAGTAAGAAGTTTTGACATTATGTTGAAATAACTGCTTGCTGTGTAGACACGGACTATGTTATTTCAGAATAACGTTAGTTATTCTGAAATAACCCTGTTGTGTAGACATATCCTAACAGCCTAGTGATTTTAATCTGGGTTTTCATGAAAAAAAATATCTCTTTGATCTCTCGCAGAATATAGCCTCAAAAAGCTCTCAGTAAGAATAGACTGTAAGTGACTAAATCAAAGAGAAAGATACAGAAATCAGACAAGGATAAAAATATTCCATACAATGGCGCCATTTAAGGGGCACATGTAATTTCTTTTTATTTTTAGTTGTTTTAGAGCGTCCTGAATATTCCACTGTACTCAGATTACATTTCCCCAATATACAAAAGCCATTTAGCAGAGGTAGACTGTAAGAACATGCCTTTTTATTTCAGATTTCTGCTCACAGTAGGGCTTGAATTCATAGTACCTGCGTGATGATCAGGTTAAATAGACACAACAACGTTGCTGCAGAGCAGTGGTTCTCAACCTGTTAACCATTGTGAGCCAAGCAATGTTGCTCAGACTCAGTCAGTATTTTACTTCATTTCATGCTTTCATCATCTTCAAACTTAAAGTTGTTTTAAATAGCCAATGCTTTCACTTTATCATTTTTCTCTTCTGTCCCAAGGCTACTAAATGCAATTAAAATCTGTCTGGATTTTTGCCAGTTCTCTGCAACATTGCCTAACGATTGCAAAGGTTGCAACACATCCATTTAGGGCTCCTCCCTCCACCCTTCTTCGTAAGTTAGTCAAGCGACTTTTGCACTCACCAAATATATTCAAAAAGCCTCTGTAATTGGTGCTCCATGTGCTGCTCTGGTGCCTTCCTTTGTCCCTCCTTCCAGTTGCAAACACAGGAGTTACTTTGAAAGTGCCTGCAGTTTCCTTCTTATTCAGCACTTCTGACACCATGTAACAATCTTGGGGTCCATTAAATAGCAAACCAGTGAATTAAAAAGGAATAAAACTTTAATTGAAAAACTGGAGAGATTTAGATGTGAACTGCTGCACACAGCACTGCAGTGTTCTCAACTTCCACCTCCAGGCTCACATCCAAACTCCCACCCTTGCAGGAATTTGGAGGGAGGAGCTGGGGTGCCAGAGTCAGGCTGTGGCCAGGAGGCACATACCTAAGCATCTCCCGGCCAGCAGCCTCAGGTTGCACAAAGCCTCAGGTGTCTGCTCCCTGTGGTTCTCTGCTCGGGGCACCAGGGGGAGGAGGTGGCTTTGTGTGCTGCCCCCACCGCTAGCAAAATATCTCAGCTTCCACTGGCCTGTTTCCACAAAGCCTCCCCTTCTCCCCGGCAGCTGGAGCAGAGAGCCACAGGGAGCAGACAGCCACTTAAAGCAGTGTGGGGCTGCTCTGAAGTTGCTGGCTGCTCTGTGCCTGATGGGTCCTGGTGGAGCAGCCCATGGGTGAGATCATGGCTTGGTGGGGGCCAGATTCAGTAGCTTGGTGGGCCAGATCCATCCTGTGGGCTGTATCTTGCCTGGCCCTGCCCTACAGAGAGTGTGGTAAGCAAAGGGCATTATTAATAAGTCCCTGCCTAGAACACTGGGATTACTATGAACCCACTGCTTTGCCATTTGCATTGTCCTACTCAGCTCATATTTATTTCCAGTCAAACTAACTTGAGTTGTTTCAGTGCAGGAGAAAAAAAAATCAAGGAAAAAAAATGTGGGACCTTGGCTATATATCTGAAAAAAAGTCAGGAAGTACATGCTGCTGCAGCAATCTGAGAAAGGGAATGGGGCTGCCAGAATAGGGAGAAGTGTCTCCTTGATTATGCTGACTGACATGTTAGAAATGTTGGTGGTGATGCTCTATCCTGGTCTTAGCCTTTGTATGGGCACGTGCTCTAGTGAAAACAGCACCTTTTCCTGATAAGGGCCATGCTAGTGGGACACGGGTAACTAGCAGTTTTCCTGAAAGCGATACAAGAACAGAAGAGAACTCAGAGCATCTATGGAGTACAGAACAATGGGGAGACACTTGGTTGCCGTGCTTCAGACATGCCATCAGAGGCCATTAAGAGGCAAGCTGCATTGAAAAGGGGGGGAAAGATATAAATCTCTTATTCCACCTCTGAGACTTAAAAACCCTGTAGTTCCAACACTGATGGAGAAGCGGATGCCCAGGAGAGGAAAAAGCTCCTTGAAACTGATAAAAATAGTTTTCTTGCCTGTAAGAAAACAAAACTCTGACATTTCAAAGTTAGAAACATCTTGGATATTGTTGCTGAAGTGTGAATTGAGTGTGAAGAAAGAAGTCATAGATGTAATAAATATTGCTTATCCCTACATGCTTCTGTGATGCTTCTGGTGCGAAGGCTCAGGCTGAATGATTCTCAGAAAATTTCTAAAGCTCACCAGAAAGTACTGCAACTGTAGTGGAAAAAGTGCTAAAGAGTTAACCATTTATATTCAAGTAGAGGCAAAGAGAAAAGAACGGTGCTGTTTTCACTTAGGCTATGTCTAGACTGCAAGCCTCTTTCGAAAGAGAGCGTCTAGACTGCACGTTGAACTTTCGAAAAAGCGGCTTGCTTTTTCGAAAGAAAGCATCCAGTGAGTCTGGATGCTCTCTTTCGAAGAAGCCCTATTTACATTGAAGAACGCCTTCTTTCGAAAGAGGATCTTTCGAAAGAAGGCGTTCTTCCTCGTGAAATGAGGTTTACCGCCATCGAAAGAAAAGCCGCGTTCTTTCGATTTAATTTCGAAAGAACGCGGCTTGAGTCTGGACGCAGGGGAAGTTTTTTCGGAAAAAGGCTACTTTTCCTGAAAAAACCCCTGAGTCTGGACACAGCCTTACTAAGAAACTATTGGGGTGATAATATGTATAATATATAGTACTAATACAATACTTCATAAAAAGCCAACGTATAGATGTGAAATGAGATTTTTTTTTCAGAATGTGCACTAAAGTTTTGGACTATGCACATAGAGCATTAACTCACCTCTGAAAGCTGTCTAGGATTATTTTCAATGTGTGCTGTGCTCCCTACAGCTATTAATCTGCCTCTCCTCCTGTAGCATTGCACACTCTGCCACATTCTGCACTTCCTGTCAATAGATTATGTTCATTCAGCTTCTCTCAAAGCTAGGGTGAAGACGGGGTAAATGGTTCCCTGCTTGACTCAGGGAACTAGTAATAGGTTATGGAGCCTTCCAAATTTAGGTAACTGATTTAAATCCAACTCAGATTAGAAGTGACTGGTGGCTGATTGATGGGCTCTGTGAAATGCATTTGTCATATGGCCATTTTCTATTGGTCAGGTGTCCAAGATATTAAAAACACAATACTATCATACCAGAGAAGTGGGACAAAACTGGGTCTAACAGACTGACCCCAATTTTAAGGAGATTGAATTTTGAGGATTAAATCCAAATGGGTTCCATGACTAGTTTGAGGTTGAGGATTATTAATCAGATCTCGTATATAGAATAAGTTATGTTAGCAGCATGACTACTGAAAACAATACATCACACCTGCTCACTCCAGAGAGTGGAAATTGCAGATTCAGCCTCTCCTCTCGATTCCTACTGAGGCAGCATGGGGAAAAGGACTCTATGGGCACATCTAAACAGAAGGGCTAAAGTCGAATTAAGCTATGCAACTTCAGCTACATCAATTGTGTAGCTGAAGTAAAAAAATAGCTTAATTCGGCTTTTGGCACTGTCTACACAGAAGGAAGCTGAAGAAAGAACACTCTTCCTCTGACTTCCCTTACTCCTTGTGCAATGAGGGGCTACCATGAATTGGAGTAAGAAGTCCTCCAGCTCAACATTATTTTGAAAGAAAGGGTTATAGTGTAGACACACTCTTTGTTATTTCTAATAATGTCAGTTATTTTGAAATAACACTGCTGTGTATACATAGCCTAAAGCTTCTGCCTGTGTAAATGGAGTGAACAGATGTAAAAGAAATATTCATGAACATCTCCTGCTAGAAGAGAGTACTGTGGGTTTTGCACTTAGGAGAAGTGAAGAAAATGCAGCTCCAAATCTACTCCCACACTCCAGTAATCTATAGATATAGCAATAGATATAGCTATAGATATTAGAGAGTTTGTGTGTCTGTCTGTCTGTCCATGAGTCTGTCTGTACATGAGTCCATATGTTCCAAAAATCCTCCTAATTGATAAGAGCTAGAACCATCAAATATGCTATGCAGTTTACTCTGATCCTAACTTAAAGCAAAGTCAGGGTTTGGTTGTGCCAGGAAAACAGGAAGTGCAGGGAATGGGACTGTTTTCCATAACATGGGTCTGAGAACAGGGAAAGTTATGTTCTGCAGTGACCACTGGGGGCAGCAAGCACAGGGGACAGTTATACTGCAGAGTGACCACAGGGGGGCAGCTGCACCAGAAAGAGAGTGGCCAGCTGGGCCTGGGGCTTTCCATATTGCCAGCCACAGATAAGTGGCTCTCCTGCCTCACATCCCTCCCCCCAGTCCTTGGCTGCAATCCTGGACCAGGGGAGAGGGGAGGAGTGTGGAGCCTGAGCTCTGCCGGGACCAGGCAACACAGCCCCCTACCCGAGAGGAGCTGCAGGCCAGGGAGCACAGCTCCACCCCCCATGTCCCTGAGGAGCCGCAGGCTGGCCAGAAAGACCCCCACACTCCAATCCCTAGAGGAGCCAAGGGCCAGGGCTGAGCAGCATACGGTCCCCTGGGAGGAACTGCCAGCTGGGGCCAGAACAACACAGCCTTGCCACAGCCCCCAGAGGAGCTGCCAGGTGGGGCCTAGTCCCTAGGAGGATCTATTGGCTAAGGAGCGTGCCAGAGAAAAACTGCCCTTGCCATTGTAGGCAGCCCCTGTGAGCCCTCCAGTCCTCCCTGGCCTGAGCCACCCACACACTACCCTGAACCCTGCCACCCCTGCTCTGAGTCCCCCCAGAATTCTCACCCCCTTCCCTGACCTACCCATCTCCTGCCCTGAGTCCTGCACCCCCACACACCTGGCCAGCGCCCATGTACACCTCCCAACCCCCTGCACTGACTCCTGCATCCTCCCCTGCCCTGAGCCCCCCCATACACACCCAACACCCTGCCCTATATAATTATTTAAATACAACATGTATATTTTCCTTTTAATTTTAAAAAAAGCAAACATTACTATAGTTAAGGATCCAAGTAATGCCAGGTACATCTACTAGTAAACAGATACATTTATTTAGGCCCAAAAGCCAAAATAAAACCAAAAGACAACTAACCCTTTTTCTAACAAAGCTAGTTATTCAGTCCATCTCTAACCAATATTTGTAATCTTGGTAGAAAAGCTAAGGATTTAATAGGACTACAGGATTTGACTCAACTACCTTCTCATTCCTTCCATAGAAGTATAATTTTATCCTGTACAGCATCTTTCACACTATGTGTATTCCAAAAGATTTTATAGAGTTAATAAATAATTCTTAGCAATTTCATATTCAAAGCACTTCAAACACATTGGCTGTGTCTAGACTGGCCCTTTTCCGAAAAATCAGCCGCTTTTCCGGAAAAACTTGCCAGCTGTCTACACTGGCTGCTTGAATTTCCACAAAAGCACTGACGAGCTCATGTAAGATTGTCAGTGTTTTTGTGGAAATACTATGCTGCTCCCGTTCGGGCAAAAGTCCTTTTGCACAAAACTTTTGCGCAAAAGGGCCAGTGTAGACAGCCCAGATTTGTTTTCCGCAAAAAAGCCCCGATCGCGAAAATGGTGATCGGGGCTTTTTTGCAGAAAAGCACGTCTAGATTGGCACGGACGCTTTTCCGCAAAATGTGCTTTTGTGGAAAAGCGTCTGTGCCAATCTAGATGCTCTGTTCCGAAAATGCTTTCAACGGAAAACTTTTCCGTTAAAAGCATTTCCGGAAAATCATGCCAGTCTAGACGTAGCCCTCGATCAAGATCCAAGTGTCATACAGTGCAAAGTGGAACTCTCTGATCCCTACGCCAGCTTTGTATTCTGCCACCTCCCACTCTGATGGGGACCAGTTCATCCCCTCACAATAGTTAGAGCAGTCTCAAGGATATTCTAATTTATTCTGGCAGCACTAAC